TCTCAAGTATTCCTTCTTTTTAAAACTTATCACCGTTCTATTGGTGGTTCTTGAATGGACTTTGAAGAAGGAGACCAGAGTATGAATGTTGGTACCATTACTAATCATTTCATCGAGAGTGAGGCGATAAAGCCACCGAAAGTAAAGGAAATTGAGAAACTGCTACTAAGAAGAGAATAGAATTTAAAAAAAACAGGACTCAAGGAGACAGAAGATGCCAATTGACATTGTATTTATATTTTAAAGATCCTACTCTAGTTTGCAGGAAAGCAAAAAGCTGAAAGGAAGATCCACAAGCGAGAAGTGCGGCGACAGAAGAAGCCAGTTGAATAGAATTTTATGGTTACACTTTATAATTTGAACAGTGAAATAATGAGACCGAGCTGCCAATCTAGTACTACGCTTGAATTCATGAAGTCAGTCTAGCAAACATGAAAGAACATCAGAAGAATTGCTTTAGAGTGAAAATATTTCTAGAAAAGATACAGGGTATCTACGTTAGAGTGGGAGGGCAAATGATTGAAACCGTGTTGCCAGGTCAGGACATATAAATTTGCATATCCTTCCTCAGAAAATTTACCATGAAAATATTTCTAGAAGAGGAGAACATAATAAAAAGTTAATGTTCTTTTTCAATGTTTACTTTAAAATAACCGCTAACTTTTACATTCTTAATTGTTTATTTTTTCTTTACTTAATATCAAAGTGGACAAATTTTGTATCCATTTTATCCTTTTAAAATGGCGACGTTCTTCAGTTAATATCTAACTTTCGTAAACCTAAATTGATGAAATCTCTAAGCAAACTACAGAAAACAGGTCAATACACACTTCGATGAAGGAACACCTTCCTGAACTTAAATATCTAAATTTGTTTGCGGATTATTGTCATCTGACTGATTCTCGCACTCATTCAACTAGTTTCTTAATAACAAGCAGATCTGCAACTGCACCATATTTTAACCATAATCATACCCAAGAATAACAACAAAGGTCACCATCCACTGAAAAACGAGAATCCATTTCCAAAACCAGGACAATCTCCGAAGAAAGTTATGTTCTGTTTTTGGTGCGATATGAAAAGTTTCGCCAATCATAAAGACAGACCCAAACCAAATGCGAAGACGTATCTCGTTATCAACTGGAAATATTGTACAAAAATCTGTCGAAAAAGCCTCCATTATTTGTTTATTGCAAATGCTTGTTGATCTTGAACACGTATTATCCGTGTCAATCAGGAAAAGATTATGGAATTAAATATGGAAGTATTCCCTCATCCTGACCTTGATCCATTTGACTATTATCCTTTGAAGTCTTTGCAACATTTTAGAGAAGACATTTTATTTATCTTGAATAAGTTAAACCTAATACTGTTTTTTAATATATGCGATTATCGATAATAAGGTGAAATAGTATCTTGATGAAATTTATCAGTTAAGACAAAAAAAATGCATTTGTTTCTTTTCATCAACCCAATAGGAAGTTCTTTCCGACCTAATCAAACGTCCACCATATTATCTCACGATCAGCAGAATTAAATTCCCTCAGTATATAATATCTAAATAAGTTCTGACATTCAAACTTCTTCCCTGAACTTATAGCTGACATTACAAACCATTTGCAAACAGATTGTCCTAGCTGTTCTTTTCTTTCTGTGTTCTTGTATTCTTCCTGAATTTCCAATGTTTTCTGGCAATCTAAATGCTGAACTTATTCCATAAAAATTCTATCCGAAAAACTTCCCTCCTCCTAGCGAGAATCTTAAAACTTTTACTCTGAAAGGCATAAATCTATCTCTTCCAAACCAGACTATGAATAAAACACCAGAATATATTGGACTATTGAACAACCTGTCTAGGAAAAGGACAACGCAGAATGGAACCCCTAAACGATGTTGAATGCCAACTTTCATTTCCTTCCGGCATCTCTTGTAAACAAATTGATGCCTATCTGTATCGATTCCTGAAATGTGCCGTTGACGGGAATCTGTTAAAGTTTCCACGGGCCTCGAAAGACCGGGTTGAATTAATATTATTATTTTATTCGGTCGAGGCAGCTCGGAAATTCATGAGTCTATTATGCAATCCGTCTTATCTCGGGATCTTCATGCTATTAATAAAAAAGGTATCAACAAAAATGTTCATTTACTTCGTTTTATTAAACCTGGAAGATTGGATTTTAAGAGGCAATAGTAGGACTGACGTGACAGGAACGGATGCCGCACGTTGGCTCAGCGTCCCTCCGCTGGTGGTATAAGCCGGTCGCAAATTTGGGTGTGGGAGGCTTATCGACGCGCCAGAATTCTCGAGATCCTCTGTTGAATTCGCGCCGTTTTGGACTTGTATTATAAACCCAAACAATCTATCACCGTTAGAATGTCCCGCCTACGAGTCACTCTGGCCGATCGCTGACTATTCTGGTCATATATATTATGTAACAAAATATCACGATCATGCATCAAGGTCCGAAGACAGATAGACATTCCTGCTTTAAGGGCGTTACAATTTTTCCATCTTTAAAACGCTATGTTATTTTACTGGGATTTTAACTTCTCTCCTTATTTTCTTCAGAACGTCGTCGTTATGCGCGCATCATATCCATTTATTTCAGCTAGTTTCATTATCCACGGTGGTATTCGATATTATTCACAAAATAAGGTTAAATTCCTAAATAGCCAATCCTTAATTCTCAACCCAACATCTATCTCTTCTTCATTCTCGTCAGTTGCGAGATTTCGCACCTGGCATTTAAATGATTTCACACATGATCAAAGACTTTTACACCTGCCACACTGTGTGTATACCTTTTATAATGACAGAATCAAACGTTCAGGCCTAATAATCAATATCCAATGTTCATTAATATTCCGTTGTTGGCTTATGACGATTGTTTATTGAATTTATTTTTTACATTTTTAAGTCGTAAATTCAATCAAACAAATCAATAATTATTTCCAAGCTGGTTCATTAAAATTGAAGAATGACTTTTCCACGTGAGGTTCGCATATATTACAAGCATGAAGCTTATTAAAATGAATAGAAGTGACATATCTATGGCGTACTTTTTAAAATATTTTCTTAACAACTTCTATATGCCGGATCCAATCTCTTCAGGACGTATGGCTCTCCACAACTTCCTATCCGTCGTAGTTCTAATCAACATTTGTACCATTGTTACCCCCAGTTCATGTTCCGTCACCCATTTACCCAAACAAGTTATGTAGGCTACCTGTTGTTTTCCCCAACCTCTGTTGACGTCAGTACGTTCTGTGAGTGTCAAATCTTCCAAGCCTCCTATCCTCATTATATGCCCCAGAGATTTAAACAGTCTCTTTCTGATTCTAAGTAAAAGTGACCTTTTTCTTCATATTTTCCTTAACTCTTTCTTTGCTTACATGCTCCAGCCATGACATTCTCAGCATCTTTCTGTATAACAAAATCTCTGTTGCCTCACATCTCCTCTTCATCTGCCAAGTAGTTGTCCAGTATTCACTGCCATATAGGGGGGAATGGATTTTACATAGGAATTCAACATTCCTTCCTTAATACCTGGTTTAGCTCTTGAAAAGTATATGAAGCAGTTATAAAATATTTAGTATTAGAGATGAAGAAACTGAATATAGAATCGACTGCTCTAAGGGTAGTTTTGCTCCTAAATCGCTACCTGCTCCAAAACCAAAACACTGAACAAGAGAGATACACCGAGAATGTTTCGTATTAAACAGACGTCGTCATTTTTACCTGATAGATTCAGGGCAATTATCGTCACTATCAAATCAGATCCAGATCATAGTTTCTGATTAAAAAAAAGTTTATCTTGAGTCCTCTTTATTAATACACTTGATAGAGGTTATTGATTTTTGTTTAAAATCATTCTTATCCCGATCATGAATACTTATGTCATCAGCATAACACGCCCTTGTCATTGGCCTTCGGATGGAAAACAGTAACACAATTTTCTATTAGTAGAGTCTTTTCGGATGTGGTATGGGTTGCTTGACTGATAAGTACCCAAATATTTACATCAGTATTTGTTTCTATGCAAAGCATTTGTCTTGGAAGAGATTATTTAGATTGGGGCTTTTATCACCGCCTTGATGTACACCAGATGTGGATTGAAATGATTTCGTATTTGGGTCTTCACAGGAAATGTATATCAGTTGGAGGAACGATACAGTTCTTCTATAAGATCTATACATACAATAGTGTCTTGAAGGATGGTTTTTAATTGATGAGAAGAGTAAATCTTTATTAATGGGATCATATTCACCTATGAAGCAGGTATACAATTTTCTATTTGAGAGCAAAACTAGCCTTTTTGAATACAAGCGCAGCACTAGACTGACGTCGAGATCTCATCAATTTAAAGTTGAGCTGGCTAGATGTAGCCGTAAGTTCTATGTTAACAGTTTCTTCTCTCATACTTATCACTTGTACCCTTCCGGCTCCATGTTTTCCAGCCAACTTAAATCTGCAAATTTTTAAATACAATTTCAATCGCTATCCAATGTTCACTTAATTAGTCTTTTTTCTTCCCACTCATTATTAATGTTATTGTTGCTAATTCGCCCACACCCTGTAACCCTTTGTGTTTTTTGTGGCTTTAATGCTTTGCATGGAGTGATACCGATTTAAAACAAAAATATAATTTCCTGAATTTGATTTATTCAGGTATGTGCTATCAACCCCTCCCCTTAGCAGACCGAAAACCAAATTGGATTTGTTAGGAATCGACTTTCATATAACGAGGAAAGTAGAAATTTCAAGGTTTATCAAAACCAACCAATATAAACGACGTTATTAATTTTTACTCACATCCCAAAATCAAATTAGAATTAATCCTTGATTTCTCAAAGGTTTCAGAATATATAGCCTGGAATACATAGCTGAAAAAAGAAAATTACATAGGAAGAGTCTCCCTCCCTACACTCTCATCATTTCATTCTCGCCGCAAGATCGATAGGTCGATAGGGTTGAAATGTAAATACTGTCAACGCCAAAAATGACTCCTCTCCCTCTCTCTCTCTCTCCCCCTCTCTCGCACCCCTTCTCTCTCTCCCCTCTCTCCCCCTCTCTCCCAACCCTTCTCTCTCCCCCCCTCTCTCTCTCTCCTTCTCTCCCCTTCTCTCTCCCCCTCTCTCCCCCCCTTCTCTCTCTCCCCTCTCCCCCCTCTCTCTCTCTCTCTTTGATTTGTTTAGCTCCAAGTGACCATTATGAAGTCTCCTTAATATCTTTGATCTAAGTTTTTCAGGTATGACAATTCTGTCATTCCAATTTTGAAAATATGGCCTTATTCCTTCTTTTATTCTTCCTTCTTCATCCATTTAGTATGAGATGTGTATTATTTCCTCTAATACAGTGTCCTGTTCAGTAGCTATTTTTATTTCATTTAATTTCTTATCCGATGCTCTGGTCTGGGTCTTACCACGCAGTCTGTGTATACGCCCAAAGCTTCAGTGTCGGATAAAAGACTTCTTGACAGTGTATAAGGTACAACTAGTGTGTTCCCTGGAATCTATTCTGCTACTCAGTTATATCTTCTCAGTCTCATGAGAAGTATGGGTTAGGGTTAGGGACATCGTAATGGATTATTGTACAGATCATGTGTTTTTTATTAACTGTATAAGTGGTTTTATAGTCCCTTAACAGTTTAAAGAATTCGAGTTCTATGACATATCTCGCAAATATCACATCTGCCCATACACAGTTCAAACACTGTTTGTCAATTTGTGCATATTTCTTCTCGTGAGGAAAATGCTATTATTTTTTTCTAAATTTCCATCTATTTCTTGAAATAGAACTGCTACGAAACAATAACCGCTAGCGTCCATCAACGCTGACTACTCTAGGTCTGGTTGGATGATAATAGGATAGAATTGGTACTTGAGTTAGTAATCCTTCTAGTTTTTAAAGAATTCTGTTGTGAATAATCCCACACAAATACAGTGTCTTTTTTTCAAGAATTCGATCATTGGTTGCATTGTTTCAGACAAGATTTTGCCTAAGTATCTGACTGTACTGATTATACGACGTAATTCACTTATATTTGTAGGTGAAGGTAATTCCTGAAAGCTTTTTAGTCTTTCGTTGCTGGATTGAATTACGTCTCCAGAAATTATGTAGCCAAAATATTCTAGTCGTGTCATTTTGAATTCACACTATTCTTTATTTAGCTTGAGTCTAGCTTTTCTTAATGTCTTAAGAACAGTTTTTAGTTTTTCGTCATGTTCTTCTATGGGTCTATCATAGATGAGAGGATCGTCGATAATTGTTTCGACTCCTTGAATATTTTTCAATAATTCTGGCATCTTTCTTTGAACGTAATATTTTGAAGCAATATTGCCCAAACTGAGTAATCAAAGTTGTGGATAGATAGCTTTCTTTAATTAACAGAATTTGGTAGAATTCGCTTGTAACATCCAGTTTAGAAAAAAAACATTTAGATCCATTTAGTTTGAGCCAGATATCTTCTAAATTTGGTAACATGGAATGTTCCCCTTTCACTGCTAGATTCAGCTTTTTCAAATCTAAATATATTCAGACTTTTCCGTTTCTTTTTATTACGGGTACTATAGGCGCTTGCCAATCAGTTAGATTCTGCAACCTTTTCCCTCGTTTTTCAGTCTGTTCAATTCTTCCTTCACCTTTGGTAAAACAAGGAATGGAACTCTTTGAGCTGTTGTTACACATTAGGCTAAAGTGTCTTTTTTTTAGAACTATTCTCACTGGGTCTCCGTTTATACGGCTTAAAATGAAGTTCTATGTTCTATTTTGTCTAAACGTTTTACGAAATTAATTTTTGAAAACATTTTTCTAGACAATGAGTTCTCTCTCTCTCTCTCTCTCTCTCTCTCTCTCTCTCTCTCCAGATTCAATGATGTATATCTACAAATATCTGACCTCACCTTCTTCTGTACGATTATCAAATTTTCTAGTGCATTGAACTATACCTCCAGGACTTGTGAAGATGCCATTTACTGGTCTTAATATAGGTTTGTAGGTTTCAATTGAGATAATATTTATATCGGCGCCTGTGTCAATTTTATATTTTACAATGTTTTTTTTTTTACCTTTTATAACACGGATCATTTATAGTTGTTTCTTTTAGCTCCCCTAGGAAATATTCCTTTTCTTCATTTACTGTCTGGATCATATTAGTTTTTTGTTTTGAAGGCTACAGTGAAATGATTCCTTTTCCTGCATTTCTTGTAGTGTTTCCTTTTTGCTGAACAGTTTTTAAAATCATGTCTTTTTTTTATTACATCTACGGCAATTACTGTTGTTGTTGTACTTTTTAATTTTGTATCTCGTAGGATTCCTCTGGGTCTTTAGTTTGTCTGCACTTTTCTTCCATTTCAGATTTTATTTGCTCACTGCTCCTGATCATCTCCGTAGCTTTCTCGAGTTTCAAATCAGTAAATAATTATAATCTTTTGGAGAGGTCTTTATTCTGTAGTCCTATCACAAGACAGTCTTTGATTTAGTTATTTTTCTTTGGAAACTCACATGCTTCTGCTAATTCGTGCAATGTAAAGATTTCCATTGATTCTTCTGGTAACTGAACTCAAAGATAAAATGTTGCCTTACATGAAATATATTTATTTTAGAAATGAAGTAGACATTGAATTTTTATAAAACTGAGTCTTACACATTTGTGTCTTCTCGACATGAGAAAGAAAATGTCCTCCGGATTATATTTTCGGCTTCACTTCCTCTGCTGTATATTAATGTACTTACTTTGAGTTTTTGTTATCTTCTTCACTTGATGCTTCTCAAAAGCTTTGAAATTTCTGCCAATTTCCCGGACTTGTAAAATCAAACGCGAATCTGGTGGAGTGTTTTTTTTTTTTTTAATGAAAAAAAAAACTTTGTTTTTGAAATCGGGTCCTGTTCTTCTAGAAAATAATTTTCTTCTTTTAGAAAGAATCCCTATCTGAAGCCATTTTCCCCTGGGCTGAAGATGAAAAGACATATCACAAAGACTGGCCGATGAAAAGCCGAAAAAACACAAAGACGACTCGACACGTGGTAAACATAACAACTCATTTATTTAAACAGCCCGCTGGATACGTATGGATAAGCTAATGTTAGGGTGGGGCATATGTTGGTGCCATTTTCGTTCCCATTGTGGTACCTAGGGTTTGGATATAGTTTTTGTCATCAAATTCAAATGTGTTATTGTCTAGAACTGGGTCTATAATATCGATAATAACTTCCTTAGTGAATCTGGGATGTAGTGTTTCTGGATATATACATAAATACACACACACACACACACATACACACACACACACATATATATATATATATATATATATATATATATATATATTTTTCAGAAGAGACATTTATTAATATTAATTCCAAAGAAGAATAAAACTCTAATTTCTTTCAAAATCGGATGCACTGACTTCCTTACATTTTTTGTAGCATTCCAGCCACTTCGTGCAGATTCCAGTCATCTAAAGTGAAGGTGTCCAGGATATCACCGCCTTCTTCGTCTTCTCAATGTCTTCAAAACGATTGCCCCTGAAGCTCTCCTTCAGTTTTGGGGACAAACAAAAGTCACGTCTTGATAGTAAGAAGGGTGAAGGATAGTTTTGGTGTCGATCTCTGTGAACAGAAAACTTTATTGAATAAAGTTTCCTACTCCATTCTGTAAAGTTGTCTCTTGTAACAAACAGATTTTAATAGGGTGCGTTCAAAGAGCTATTAGAGTCGTCTCCTTCAATCTGGAATGACAAACCTTAGCAGGTCGTCTTATTCTTTCTTTTTATGTACCGTGTCCATTCAGGGCGTAGGCGATCATGGCTCTCCACTTCCCGCTATCCCTTGTATCTCTAAGTTTCCTCCTCCCCCAGACCACATTCTTTTATCCATTTTATTAAGCCAGCCAGGTATATCATGCGTTGCTTTCCTTTGTCTGTCCTTCCCTCTATTCGCCGTGTGAGTATCAGATTCTCCAAGCCTTTCTTTTTTATTAGGTGTCCCAGAAATTTCAACTATCTATTCCTGATGTTAAGTATAAGCTTCCTCTTTGTTTGCATCCTCTCCAAAACCTCATCATTGCTCACATGCTCGGTCCATGATATCCTTAGCATCCTTCTGTAGAACCATATCTCCGTTGCCTCGAGTCTCTTCTTCGTCTTTGAGGAGACCGTCCAATATTCGGTGCTGTAAAGGAGGACAGATACCATGTAGCAGTTCAGTACTTTTTTTCTTTGTTAGCAAAGAAATCCTCCTTTCTCGTAATACTCTGCCTAGCTTTTGGAATGCGTCTTTGGCCATCAGATGTATTGTAATGATATACTAAAATTACAATAATCAAGGCCCGTTATTAATGGTTCTCTTTAATTAACAAAATCTCAAAGCTTCTAGAATTCCCCTTGTTCATGTAGATAATTCAGACAGAATCTATTATTATCCACTATCCAATTAATACTTCAAAACAGACACATGTTTGTTACTGTTATTTTTCTGACAATTTCAAATTTGATGAAAAATCTTCATCCTATTTGCACCAGGTCTTTCTTCAGCTGTGTCCCCGTGGAAGTGTTTATCTTGTCGAATCTCTTGCAATATTCCAACTTCATATTTGATTTATTGTATTTCTGTCTTTGTTGTCATTGACTTTTAAAAAATATGTTTGTGAAAAGAATTGTTATCGTTCTGTAAATTAAAATGTTTGTGAAAAGAATTGTTATCGTTCTGTAAATTAAAATTTTCATTTATTTATTTTTGCTATTTTGACAATTAAGTTAATTGCTCCGTTTGTGTAAATAGAAACTGGAAATATGTTCTTATGATAATAATCGATTATTTTAATCTCGTCATCTTCTCAAAAGTTTTGGAGTTTTTACTAAATCAACTATTTTCACTTTCGCCTATCGATCTTTAGTTTCTCCAAATTTAAAAATCATTGTTTTTTTTTACGCGGACAAAAAATCGCAGTAAACAATATATCAAAAGCAAAAATCAAAAAAACAGTTTTTTAAAAACTTGTATCATTTAATAATTTCATTTCTCAGAACAATTTCATTTATTTGCAATAAACATGAAAACATTCTAAAGGGAGAAACAATAAAAAAAATTATAGCTTGCAAGGAATTCCGCTTTTGCCACATTAGTCTGATAGAAGTAATAATTTGAAGATTTGTATTAAGTTAGGAACCATCAGTTTTTTTTTACAGTGATTTTCACCATGTAGAAAGCCTAAGAGACACTCTTAGATAGAGGGTTATAGAGTAAAAGGCATGGTTTATGGGGATATATGAGAAAGATAACTTGAACAGTAGATTGTAATAATTTCATAGTCTTTGGAGTCGGTTCAACAAAGTGTCGCTTCGTGGGAAGAAATTGATCGAGCAGAACTTACCCCTCACCAATGGTAATACGAATGAAATGAGGGTGGTTCGCTACAATGGGCGTGGCATGGCGAGTCTTAGGCGTGAAGGTTAGAATTGGTGGAACACTAAGGAAGGTAGTTCATCTGAATTCTTCCCATGGGAACAACGGCTGAGCAGCGAAAGACTTGCGGTGTTTTGTGTCAAAGAAAAGAGGTTGGAAGGAGAAAACTAATTCGTCGCTCAAAAGGACGCAGAGACCATTTTAAACTCTATCGATACTGGAAATTGAAGAGTGTGCAACTCCAGCCACTTTTTGACAGCAGTATGCTATTTTCGGTCTGATCTGGCACTTATAAAAGTAGAAGATAACAGAAGGAGTCAGGTACTTTGTATAGCTATACAAAGAACTGGGCATTTTTTACAGCATCTTTAGTCGCGATGTATCGTTTGCCCGAGTTGCACTTGAGGTCTGGGTGGAGACACAGGACTCTTCCATGAATGAACACCCATTTGTTGGGAGCGAGATGCGTCTGCTTGGTGATGATGAGACGTCAGTAATTTGGTTTGGGAGGCGTTGTGCGACCAGCCAGTTATTCCCCCCACACCTCCAGCTACTGATCTGTTAGTGCTAGATCAGAGGAGAAATCAGCTGCCAATCTGTAGCCATCTATGTTTATGGAGGTGCATCCATATACTGTTGCATGATAAGTATAGATATTCACAAAGGATCGAGTATACGCTTAGGCAGATCATTTATGTAAACCTAAAAGTTGTAAACCGCGTGGGGGCGCCTGCGTTAATCGTTTGGGTCTCGGAGCACTGGCCGTCAAGAAAAACATTATAATTGGGAAGATTCTCCCAGTGATTCCATTACTAGAGCGTTTGTCTAATAACCATTTATGCCAGACCTTGTCAAATAACTTTAAAGTATCTAATGCAATCGTCCATTAGATGTATTTATTGTTTAATATCTCAGTGATTCTATCAGTGATTCTGTGAGGATATCAGCAGTGGACCCAGCCTATCGAAACCCGTACTGTTTGTTACTCAAGATGTTGTCACTATTGAGGTGATCAACAACCTTTTTTTTATTATAGCTTCACAAGATTTGCTAATGACACTATGGAGGCTGACGGGTCTATACTTTGACGCATTCTACAAAGCCGGTCATACACGTGACACCTACCACAAATTGGTATTGATTTCTCGTTCAAACGGCGGTTAAATAATTTCGTTAAAATTGGGCATAAGTCCGCGTTGATATTCTTAAAGACAACTACTGGCATTTTATCTGGACCAGTAGATTTCTTAGATTCCTGTCTTTTGAGAAGTCCTTTGCGGCTGTAATAAAAATATTATTGAGATTGTGTCTAGTGAGATGGATAAAGTCAGAAAGGGGATGATCTTTGCGATCTAAAGGTAAAGATCGTTGCAATGGGCTTTGACTTATCTGCTAAGGATTAGATGGCCTCGGGGTCATTTATAATAGCAGATACTGACGCTTTGCTTCTATTCAGAATTTGGTTGAAGATCTACCAGAATTCCAGGGATCCATTTTGTTTGCTTCCATCATTATTCTGGATTGCTTACGTATAGCTGCATTTTGCATTGTACAGTATCACGCTTCATTTCGTTTTGAAATTTTACAGTAATTTTATCAAATTATATTTTTAGTTGCTTCTTATAATAGTTTGGTCTTCATACAAAAAAAATTGTTCAACTTAAGCAAAAAAATGTGGAAAATTGATATTTTTCAAACATTTGTATATTTAAGCGTCAACAAAGTAGTTTAAGAGCTGTAACGAAGTACTGATCTGTCGGTTGCTCAAATAAGGGAATATAGCCACTAAGACGCAATGGGT